CTCAATGGTGAAGTTGAATTCCTGCAATCGGTAGGCCCATCGCGCAAGCCGTCCCCGCGGGTCTTTCGCCGTCATCAACCACGAGAGCGGTTTGTGGTCAGTGACGACCCGGAATTCATTCGCCAGTAAGTAATTTCTCCACTTCTCTAACACCCACACAATGGCCAAGCATTCTTTCTCCGTTGTTGAATACTTCTGTTCCGCCCCCGTCAGCACTCTGCTCGCGTACTCCACCACCCCAGCCGGTTGAGACAAAACCGCACCGATGGCCACGTTGCTTGCGTCGACAGCCACAGTGAACCTCTCACCAGGATTAGGTAGCCGTAGACATGTCGGGGCTTCTGCTATGCACGCCTTTAGATGGTCAAAGGCCTGATCCGCTTCAGCTGTCCACACGAAGGGCACGTCCTTGCGAAGCAGCTTTAACAACGGGCTGACCTTCTCTGCGAACTGGGGCACAAACTTTGAATCATATGCCACCACTCCCAAGAACGAACGGAGCTGACGCTTGGATTTTGGTTTTGCGAAGCACTTGATCGTCTCGCGTTTCTCCGGAAGTGGATGGACTTGACCATTGCCCACGATGTGACCCAAGCATACAATTGACTTTTGGGCAATCTGCGACTTTTTACGACTGAGTTTCAGACCAGCTTCATCTAGCCTCTGCAGTACTGCTCCAAGTCTGGTCACATGTTCCTGTTCCGTCTCAGAGAAGACGATGATGTCATCACCATAAACAACCACGCCTTGCAGCTTCGCCAGGACCATCAGCAACAAACGCCTGAATGTAGCTGGGGCGTTGCACAATCCAAACGGCATTCTCAAAAACTCATACTGCTGGCCATTGACACTGAAAGCCGTCTTGTGGCGATCTTCTTCTGCGATCGGCAGTTGCCAATATCCCGAGCGGAGATCAATCAGAGATATCTGCTTCGCACTGTGAAGGCTTGAGAAAATTTCTTCCATCTGAGGCATCGGGAATGCATCCTTGACAGTCACCCTGTTTAGTTCTCTGAAATCGATGCAAAATCGATAGGTTCCGTCGGCCTTCTTCGTCAATAGCACGGGTGATGAATACGGGCTGTGCGTTCGCCTGATGATTCCTTTCGATTCCATCTCGGTCACCTGCTTCTGTATCTCCACCAGGGTGTTCTGTGGAATTCGTCTGAAGATTGGCTTGCATTGTCCTCCTGGGATCAACGGTATTCGGTGTTCAACCCAATTGCAAAATCCGTAATCATCTTCCGCGTCTGTGAATAAGTGGGCATACCTGCTCAGTACGTTGCGTATTGCACGGTTCTGACAATCAGGCAAGGCTTTGAGGGCACCAACCCGGTCGGTTCTCCCCTTGTTTAGCTCGATCGTCTCGTTAGCCACGATAACCACATCGTTTTTCAGGTCAATTGTGACACCAAGCCGTTTCAGGATGTCGGTTCCGATAATGGTTTCGGTCGTCTCCTCCACGATGAACATGTCATGGCTGATGAGCGTTTCTCCTATCCTGATTCGTAACCGCTGCGTGCCCGTCACTTTCAAAGAATGCCCGCCGACCGTCTGCATCGTGATTGAAGATGGGTTTACTGGAACCCCATTGAACCTCTTCGTAATTGACACTGCCGCTCCTGTGTCTACTATGGCTCGGACAGACACACCTTCTATAGTTACCTGGAGGACTGGTACCCGCCACCGACTAGGCATGGATAGAGAGAAACAATGGGGCACATTGACGTTGGTGCAGAATCTCGCCACATGACCACTCTGGTTGCATCGGAAACAGCGGCGACCGTTCCGGATTACCCGTACATTGCGTTGTGAAGTGGTGCTTGAAGACTCTATCGACAACAGCTGCTCCACCATTTCGGATAGGCGATTTACTTTCTGTTCCAACGCAGCATGCTGGATGCTTCTCACTGTCACTCGTTCCGACAAATTCTGGGCGACCGTCACCAGATCCAACGCTTTGCTGTCTCCCACCAGCGACGCCAATTTCACCTTGATCATGGAGTTGGACCGGGTAGACTTCGGATAACTGCTGTTTCAGTAGGCGCTCTCTTGCTTTGCCCTCTAACTCGGGGAGCCCAATCGTTAGATGTCTGTCCAGCTGCTGGAAAAACACCAGCAATTCCTCCTGTTCGTCCCACCTGGCTGCGTGAAATCGTTGCAGTGCTCGTTTTCTCTCCAGATCCTTCCCAAATTCTGCACACAAGGCAGCCCTCATCTCAGCGAACGAACAACCGGGTTTGGCCTTTCGAGTGAGCAGATACATCGCCTTGGCTCGTCCACACAACCGTGTGCCCAAAGTAATTAGCAAATTTGCATCCCCCTCACACCCGTGCAAGCCGCAATTCCGTCGAACTCATCGAGCCACGCCTCCACGTCACCGGCCGCAAATTGCTCCAACCGGGTCAACTCCATCGCGATTGGTCACGACACTAATGTAGCGAGAACGACAAGACAGGGGGGTAGACGTTTATTGCACACCGAAATTGGGCACATGAGGGTCTCGCGCGCGCCATCGAATATCGACTAGATTTCCGTCCCACAACGCAACACAGGTACGGATGTTAGAGACGAGCCCGTCCTTTCGCCTCGGGAGCTCTGACTTGGAAGATCCGCCTTCCTGTTTTCGCCTCGATCTCCGCTTCTCTGCACCCGATTTGGATCGGCCAGGAGTCGTTCGAGAGCTCACGACTTGCTTGTTCCGTCTCTGCACCGACACTAACAATACTTAAAAGACGGTTGGATGATGCACTCACCCACTTACACTTTGTTACTTAACACTTTGTCTCCATCCTACACCTGGAGTTTACCCTGGAATTATTTGTTGTTAACTGTGGATGCTGTGAATCTGAGAGGATCGCGGGACTGCAGCGAAGCAAACGATAAGTCCTTATTTTGGTAGTTAAAGTATTAACTATTTTACTATCTTTTTCATCATAATTGTTATGTTGATATCCTCACTTTTACTGAGTCTTCAAATGCGTCAAGGAGTCTGACAATTAGACTCTGTAAAAACTAGACATCATGATCGTAGTGCACTTGGGGTGATGACTCACCGGACTCCGGCGTGTGGAAGAGCACGAGGTTGTAATGCCTCTGGTCGGACGAGGTTGACCTTGCAGAGGGAAGTTTATTGCCAGGCTCACGTGGTTTGGCTAACTGTTGACTTACAGAAGTTAAACGCCCAACAACCCTTGGTAATTTCGTTCTTTGTTCCGCCCACTGGTCTTCAGCATTCAGGCTTTCACCTGCTGGGACATCAGTGCTCGTTGGACACAAAACGTTAACCATTTATGCCAAATGAAACTGGGCTTCTCACAACAGTTGAACTTCGTGCCGGTGAGTTTGCACTGGTAGAGCAGGAAGGTTGAGCTAAAACCTGAAGGTTCTTTGGGCTAGGTTGTTAGGCCAAACACACGGAGCTGTTCACAACAGAATGATGAAGCCTACACGTCGGATTTACTCTTCCTGGTTGTATCTTGTTTCGGCAGGTTTCAAATAAAGTTTGAACGAAATCGTGTTGGATTTCAGGAAGACGATGCGAATGCTCTACTCATATATATATATATATATATATATGTATAATGTATATATATACGAGTTATTTTATTTGCTTTCGTCATTTTACTTGCTTGGCTTTTGCTTGACATCCTCGGGGTGGCTGCTTTTGAAGTGCATGTCGACAAGGTCCCTGCCTGTCTGATACCCACCTCCTCGTCTATACTGGCTCCAGGAGACAGTTTTCGTTGCTGGGGGGGGGACGGCGTGCACGGTCCCGGTGACTGTGTTAGGCTTAAATACTTGTCCTTTGCACAATGCTTTTCTGCGGAGCGGGCTACGGCCCAACCACCGCCTTGTGTACGCTTGATTCCCCGTATACAGAGAGCTTGTTTTTGTCTGTGTATGCGTGTGGGCCTGCTCTGTTGATGAAAGTTAGCTCACATCCATTCACCTCTCGGTCTTCTTCTTTCGGCTTTACAATGGATATGGGTTGTGTGGATGGAGCTGTAGTTGGCGCACCGCAAGACACCCATGGTCGCTTTGTAAGCGTTGGCCTCCTGTGAATGTTCACGTGGAGGTCACAGGGACAGTCAAGTCCGGAAACGGATGCCGCCAACCATATTAATATTTAAATCTATCTAAGGCGACCACTCAAGGGACCTATAAAAAGTGATTGCCTTGGTACTTGTCTGCTCGTGTTTCCCTAAGCTTCATGTTTTTTCATGTATAAATCATCGGTTGCGCCTTTCCCGGTCCTATTGTTTGCAAAATACCTTCCTTAGCGATGGTATCAATGTACTTGCCCGCTCTGGAAGACTGAATGAAATAGTGTTCTCATTCTTTTAGATTTGCTAAATCTAATAAATACATTGCAGAATATAGTGCGACTCCTCAACCGCCTTGTATAAATCTGTCTCGATATTTTCCATAACTGGTGATTAATGTACAAATTGAACTGGCCGGTACCAACAATATTGGATAGTTGCTTAGAGTTATACTGCTTTTGTTTATCACCAGATATGGGGCATGTGGAAATGCTATGTGTGGCACGTCTTGAGTCATGTATCATCCATCTGTGAACTGGTGCATCTGCTGCTTTTCACCATCATAATGACAGGTAAATATGAAGAAAAGGATCTTCAACTAGCTTGAACGGATCACTGTCTCTCTTTTCCTCTTAAGAAGTCTCGAGCCTACTTCTTATTGTGTGTTCGCAGGCAACCAAGCATATTTGTATTCTTCACTTAGCTAACAGAATGCGCTTTCTTCCTCGGGTACTTTTGTTGTCCCAGTTTCTTTCCTTTACTTGCGTCTAGCTCAATTCGCCCATAATTTTAGTACAAGTCGCTGATCAAATCTCGCGGACATCCACACTGATCTACAGAGTTCATTCTCTTGGATTGAAACCATTTCTGAAAACTAATTTACCTCCTGATTTACGCCTTGTGGAAATAAAACTTTATCCAAATACATCACCAACAAACTTTTCCCTCTTTCAGAATTGATACTATACAAGGATCCTATACAAATGTCGGCTTCTCTGGATGTCTCTTAAAACTCGTCATTCGGGCAGGAAATCCGGCTCTGCAACAGGTGGTTGATTTGATTAAAGCGGATCGCACTGAAATGGTCTGGATTGGCATTCAGCAAATGCAGTCAGGATTAGATGAAGCCCCTCTGTGCGAACCACCTTATTCTGCTAACCAGCGAGATAGCGCTAAAGGCATCCAGTCAGACTCGATTGGACCTGAGTGGAAAACCGACCCGTGTATGTGGTCACGTCCAGTTTGCCAAAACAAGGGGCTATGTAAGCCCAGTGATTCAGGCGATTATTTTTGTATTTGTCAACCAGGATGGCAAGGGAAGCATTGTGAACAGAGTAAGACTGATTCACTCTAACTGCGCTTAAGTTTACATATGTACAATTGTTTTTTCATGCCGGCAGTCGCACCGGCGCTCGTATAGCACTTCACTGGCGTAAATCACCTATCTGTTGCACCCGCTCAGTCCGCAGAAATAAAATTACACATATGGTGTGTATGTCTACCCCCGAAGTGTTGAGAATACTTTGTACATGTTAAAAAAAAGTGTAAATAATTAACACCCGTCTGTCGCTGTCCTCCTCGGTGGGTCATAGACATGTGTGACTAGGGTCATTAGTGCTAGTCCAGTGGTCTTCCAGATATGTGATGTGCGTCTGGTTTAGTCTAGATGGAAAAATTGAAGTTGAACTCCGAACTTGTCAAATTCAAGCGGTGCATGAGAGAACCAGCAGTTGAAGTAACTGCAAATTCGAACTACTTTTGCTTAAAGCAGGTGCCTACTTCCTTTAGTTGTTCCCTGTGACAGTTCATAGGGCTCCATCATTCAGGTATGTGCACGGTCGCCATTCATAAGAAATACCTTGCCAGCAGCTCACGGTTTTAGAGCCTCTGTAAGATGTGAGCTGTTCTCAAGATGATAATTAATACTTCAAAGTGATTTTTAAGGTATTAGTTTAGCACTGTATATGTGTCATGCTCATGTAACACATTAACTAATTATGCAGTTAGCCTGTGGATAAAGTTCGGGTATACCATTGTGCCTGCGTGAACACCTCTGGTGACAGAGGAAATTTTCCTTACCCTTTGGACAAGATAATGGTTTTGCTTTCACCATAACATACATCCTTTCCCTACCTCATCATTTTATATTATATAGTATACCCGTACATGAAGGGGCTACGCTAGCGGAATCCGTCTTCCCTAGAGATAGGACAGTACGACCGGCGAGCATTTCGTGATTACTCAAGTCAACTCAAGTAAACGATGTGCCTTATGCACCCTTGAAGATTGAATATCCAGCTACAACCACACGCTCAGGGTACAAATAGAAGCAAATAAAAATATAAATTTATATCTTGTGCCACCAGCTTAAAATGTGTCAGAGGCGATATCATCGATTCAGTCTGGCAATAAGGTCTTGTTTGACTACATCTTGATCCCTTAGAGAACGTGACAAATAGAAAACAACTGACTTACCGGAAGCCCGTGTGCGGGCATGGATGGCTTTGTACATTTGTCTGGTCGTGGACGATGAGATACATTTCGACAATGCACAATGGCGAGGGTGACTGGCCTCAGTGAGTGCCTTGGACGCCAATAATTCGAGGGAGCAAACATGAACGCACACAATGACGTTAATCAACACTAGCATAAACACTCTGCTGGGAGATTTGACCCATCAATCTTCCCAATGATGCACAATTCTTACGTGCGCCCACATGTTGAATACGCTATCCAAGCTTGGCAACCTTGGTTGAAGCGTGACCTAGAAGCGATGGAGGCACCACAACGATGAGCAACAAAGAATGTAAAGGGCCTGCACTATCACTCTTACCACCGAAGGCTGCAGTTGCTGGGAATTTTCAGCGGGCGCTATCGAAGGCTGCGCGGCGATCTCATATTAGCGTATCAGATATTGAGTGACCCCAACCACGTATGCCGCCATTTGCTGAAACTTAGCCACAACACGCAGCTCAGGGGTAACTGCTTAAACTTGAAGGAACAATATAGCCGTCTAGAGTGTCGACGGAATTACTTTTCCCTTCGGGTTTGCAAATCTTGGAACGCACTCCCAGACTCATTTGTATCCTCTCCTACCTTGGATGTTTTCAAAAGCGATTAGATGTTGCTCTTAGCTCCCAACATTTTGTTACCTAAACTCCCCTATTGTGGATTACGCCAAGCATGCTTTTCAACAGCATTTATGTACCAAATGGACCTAAGTGAGCGACCATATTCTACTTTTCACGCTCCTTACCTCAATGATCACTGCACCCCAGTGTCTATCTTAACGTTTACGCTCGATACTTTATTTTAATTTTACACTGATGTTACTTATCAAACTATTCATCATATTCACCTCAACCATCCTACGGGACGTGTCAAACACTTGCTTTTATCCCGTGATAAATCATTGTTCATTGTTCATGGAGTAAGATGTTTCAGCGACATGTTGATCGCTTTGAATTGCCGGTTAAGAGTCCGGGAAATATCGCAGGTGCAGTATTACGCAAGCGGGGACAAACCATAGTTTTAACTAATGAGGCAAGGATGATAACCTAAGTAGGGAGAATACTGAATACTGTATTATAGAGCAATTAGAACTGAATTCCGCAAACATTTTTCGTATTACGGTGCAAAGCGTTAGAAAAATTTGTCCGCTGCGAATATTGTTATCGTTCTCAAGAAACACTAAAATATCGGACTCACGATATTGCAAGACTCACGAATGTGATATGTCATCCTAAGTGGGCCATTGTTCTCTGAATCGAATAGTAATAAAAGATAAATCTAACAACGACTTGAACTGCTGCAAAAAGATTGCCTCCATCACATGTTCAACCAAACTGTCCCAAATATTTACCACTCTCAATTCGAAGCGCAGTGGGTGGGGAACCCGCTTCATATCCAGCATGTCATCACGCTTATTCATAACACTTCAAACGTTTGTGAAGGCTACTCGCAGGCCTCAGTAGGAGCCACTGAGCATGCTTGAAGTGTGAGCAATCTGTTTATCCTGATTCGCAGGTTCTCGGAACCCACCCGAAAGTTTACGATACGGAGATTTCTTTCACCACCATCCGTACGTCTTTTCAGCTCAACCATGGCAGACTTGAACCGCTCCCTCTCTACTGAATCCAGGTCTGGGCGAACATGGATCTTCAAACCTTTCAGCCCACTTGGGGGGGGGGGGGACATGATCAGGCTTGGACTAGTTTCGTTCACAAAACTGATTCTCATAGGCCGAATTGCTGATAACCTTGCTTTCCAAGACGGGTAATTTGCCTCACTTTTACCGAGTCTTCAAATGCGTCAAGGAGTCTGTCAATTAGACTCTGTAAAAACTAGACATCATGATCGTAGTGCACTTGGGGTGATGACTCACCGGACTCCGGCGTGTGGAAGAGCACGAGGTTGTAATGCCTCTGGTCGGACGATGTTGACCTTGCAGAGGGAAGTTTATTGCCAGGCTCACGTGGTTTGGCTAACTGTTGACTTACAGAAGTTAAACGCCCAACAACCCTTGGTAATTTCGTTCTTTGTTCCGCCCACTGGTCTTCAGCATTCAGGCTTTCACCTGCTGGGACATCAGTGCTCGTTGGACACAAAACGTTAACCATTTATGCCAAATGAAACTGGGCTTCTCACAACAGTTGAACTTCGTGCCGGTGAGTTTGCACTGGTAGAGCAGGAAGGTTGAGCTAAAACCTGAAGGTTCTTTGGGCTAGGTTGTTGGGCCAAACACACGGAGCTGTTCACAACAGAATGATGAAGCCTACACGTCGGATTTACTCTTCCTGGTTGTATCTTGTTTCGGCAGGTTTCAAATAAAGTTTGAACGAAATCGTGTTGGATTTCAGGAAGACGATGAAAACGCTCATCTGATAATCCAACACATGATATGTGGTCTTTAACTTCGCACAGAACTCACGTGAGTGCATTTGTACATTATCTGACTGTCTTAGAACAAGTATCACATGGCGATTGATCCGGCATTGTGAATAACCCGAAAACAAGATGGCGACCAATTTTTGGAGAAAAGGGCGATCGCAGGTCCGCCGAAGCCATGCGGTTACAACACGAGTATTTAGTTTCGAAAAATTCAGAATCAGAAATGGAACCTTATGGTATCTACTTTTCCGCGAAATACTTCCTATGAACCACGAAATCCAACACAAAATGAGCTTTTCAACACAGCCAATAATAACCTACCGGAGGCTGATATTCGCTGATGGCGAGACGCAGAATATGAGTGTTTCATTCCCGTGATGTGACCACATGAGATCCCGGCTTATTGTAACCGAGATATTTCACTACTCTACCCGAGTGTTGACTAACACTGTCAATACTAAGCTGCAGCATGTGTGTCCAAGCTGTTGATAACGAGCGGGAAAGAACATCTTTACACTGATGCGTTGAGTGAAAGACAGCCAGTTTTGAACCAGGATGTATGGTTTTCCAAGAAGCATTGCAGTTTGGCCGATGAATCTGTGGTGTGATTTTGTACACCAAGGAGCACACCATCAGCATAGTTTAGTAGGATGGCTTCTTTAGGAGCGGGAATGGAGTTAATACGGGTGGAAAATACGAATAGAGACAAAATATCTCCCTGAAGAACACCTGAATTTGTGTTAAGTGAGGAAGAGCTTTTCGTCCTAATCTTGGTGAACTGTATGCGATTGGCAAAATAGTCTGTAAGGAAAGATGCTAACGAAGATTAAACTAGGGAAACTAACAGATGGTGTAACAGCAGCTCGCGGTTTACACAATCGAAGGCACTGCTGTAATCTATGAAGCGGAACTGCGTGCTTTTTTTACTACTGAGTGATGAAAACACGGAGTGCACAAGGCAGATTAATACATTCAAAGTGGACTTTGAATTGCGATAGACAAACTGGGAAGGATTGTTCGTGTGGGTTTGGACAAGCATCTATCAAGTGTGATTCGTTCTAATGTCTTCAAATCCAGAGATGTACAAGCAATTGGCCGGTACTTACAGGTTCCCTTTTTTGGTACAATTGTAATGCGGGCGCTTCGCCAGCAGTCACCTATCTTGTGCTGATGTAGGCACACAGTGGGCAGTTCAGAAAATGGCTGTGCTAAAACATTTGCACATTCTTTGGGGACCATAAGATATAGTCTGTCTGGTCCAGTCGCTTTGAACGACTGTATCCGTGTTAATTCCTTAGGAACTGTTACACTATCTATGGGTGGTGAAGGTCTTTGGGAAAGTTGCCACGGTAAAGATGGTATGTGCAATGCTGAACTCCGTATATGACCACCGAAGTTGCGGTTTAGTTCCTCCACACGGAGAGAATTGTGTGACACGTCTGAC